TGACTATAATGCTGAATGGAAATTTAACTATTTAACAAAACATTTGAAAAAAATAATATTTCAAATATTTGGTACAAAGTTTCTTGAGAAAATTAACAAGGATATAAATTTAATTTTTGTCTTAAATATTTAAGAGACTGTTTCAGTAACAACAATGCGAGTGCAAAAATTAATGAGGTGAATACACAATTGATGTACTAATGTGTATACATAAGAACTCCCCACTCTTATATTTTATGTAATGTGAGAGGGAACAAATCTGCAGCCAAGGACCTAGATGACCATGATCGCCCTTGTTCGTGTAATTTATATTATCAAGGTGGTAGAAATGTGATGACCTTGGCAGTATGTTTTGTTGCTTGAAATTCTAGATAGGATTACTGTCTATGTCTATTTCTACCGGATGAGAAGAGTGATACATCATGTGCTCCTCCTGCCACAGAGTAATCAGATCCATAAACCCAGCAATATTCCATTTTACAGAGCCACAGAAACACTAACATTTCATCCGATTCCAAATCCTACGATGAAAGGAATAAAAATCATTACCTTTCTTCAGCCTTTGCAAATACTATGGTCCTTACTCCTTTAATTGTTATCTGATTAGCATCCAGGGATAATTACCTTCAACCATCAGTGGCATGTTTCTAGCTCAGAAGGATATCAGAAGTTCTACAATTCTGAACCCAACCCTTGATTTTATAAGTGAATATACTGCGGTCCAGGGAGATGAAAGAACTTTCTTAAATGCCACAAATTTAGTGGCTGGTATTACAATGCATATTTCCTGGCTTTTTATCTTCTCTTTGTTGTGTGCATCATTGTTTTGTCCTAAAGTGGCCACCTGGTCACCCTACTTTGAGTGAATAAATATTTATGACTCCAGATAGTAATTTATAAGAACAAACAAATTACATGGTCATGTACTTCCAGTTTGCATACTCACCTTAGTTTAAAATTTTTAAAGCTGATGTTCTAATCTTGCATGTATTCCCATTTTATTATTCTGGTGAGCTAGGTTAATCTTTTGAAAGCTTTGTTTGATTACTTTAATCAAATCATTGCCTATCTTTTATAGATTGCCTTGAACTGTTAGAAATGACTCAGCACAAATATGTAACTCAATTATTTACTATGTGCCAACTCGTCTATTTAATTTTATTTGAAAAACTATTAAAATTGGGTTTTCCTTGAAAAAATATCTCCCAGGCATTTAATTCTGTTCTTCTTACATTCCCATTTGACAGACATTGGCTGAAACAACCGAAAATTTATTTTGTCCAGAAAAAAATGTCAAAAGCAAATTGTCCAGACCTTAGTGTGAATGATAGCTTCTCTATTTACACTTTGGTAATAAAAACAGATGTAATGAATCTTGATTAATGAAATGAAAATTGATGTAAATTGAAACAGAGGTACACTGCAGATTAAGCATATTTTAAAAGGGTTTTAAAAATCTTCTTGAAGAGTCTATTATTTTAATCAGATAACTATGATTATAAACTGTAAAATAACTACTATGAGTTTAAGAAAATAAACATTTCTTTTAAAACATAAATAAAATGATAAATATCTTTAAGTGAAAACATTAGCAATCATGTGCTCTGGATTTGAATTCAGACTGAAGAAGAGCAAGGAACAGCATGTAATACTCCCCTGAGCCATGGGTGCCTTATTAGAGCAACACTCATTTTCTGACACTGAATGAGTGCCCAGGATAGGGCTTAATCTCCCCAGCAAACTTTTTAAGCTAAAGGACTCCCTCACCTTATGCTATTTACAAGTATACCTGTTCCAAATACACAGGGACCCATTGATGTAGCAAATTTGCATAATAATAAAATCAAGGTGAAAATATAAAAAGTCTATTTTCTAAAATGTATAATGCTTAAAAAAAACTACTTTTTAGTACTAATCACACTTTGTTGTTATGAGTATCTTTATATATCATACATATATTAATATAATATATGCACATATTGAGTATATTAATTTCATGTTCTGCAAAAATAATGCTAGAGATAATAAATTAATTATCATTAAAGTAACTAATATAGATCCTGTGAATCATTTCAAGTTCTTTGAAAGGTTAACTCTGTCATTTTAATTTAAAAAAAAGTTAGAAATTTTCTACTTGTTTACCATGTAGATTAGCAGGCTGAGCATTTCTTACTTAATGAAAATAAGTAGGCAATGAAAGGGATTGCTGTAAGTGATCATTTGGGCAAGTTTGAAACTGATTCATTTGATAAAGGTCCAACTATTATAGACCAAACTAGGGATGGTAAGTATTTCGAATAATGGAAAGAATTAGGGATCATAGGGTTGAGGGACAGATGATTTAAGACAAGGGTGCTTTAAACTATTTGATGCAGAGAGAAAAAGGGAAGGAAACTAATATTTATCGAATGTTATGTTTCAAACACCTTGCTGGGCACTTTTTATGTGTTAAGTCATTTAATTCTCTCAATAGCCCTGCAAATGTGGGTGAAAAGGCTGGGCTCAGGTAACTAGTAGCTTGCTGAAGTTCACACAGTGAATAAATGGTAGAACCTACTGATTCTAAGCCTCTGCTTTTGTAACTTTCATTCTATGTTGCCCAAAGGATAAGAAGACATGGGAATTTAGAGGAAATACATTTCACCTCGACAGAAGTAAGGATTGTATAACTAAGAGTCCTTGTTTCCTGAGGAAATAAGGAACACTGTCATTAGCGGCATGCAAGCACACCTAGGACATCTAGGAACTCAATTATATTCTTCGGTGGAAAATTGGAAAGATGTCTGCCAAACCTCTCTTATGTCTATAACATTACAAAGCTTTCACGTAGATTAATGGGTTTTAAGCTACTACTAAAAAGAAAGAAATGAAAAATAAAGAAGCCAACATGAAAGCGTGTGGTCCCCTGTAGTATCAGTATAATCTTAAATCAGCAGAACTTCCTTTGTGTGTCGGAAAACATGATTCAGGGTATCAAGACTGTTAAGAAGTGTTCCCTGAAAAAACATGACCACTTGTCACAGTCCTTGTTACTGTTTTTGATGTACAAAAGTAGAGAGACAATCTTAATTAAGTTTGTTGTTGTTGTTTTTAATTTTATGTTACCTTAGTCTTGATGAATTTACTGACATGGGAGGTTGGTGATGTTAAAAGGTGAAACTGCTCCTATAATGATTAAACACGTATTTAATAAAATAACATTGCAAGCTGCATTGAGAGTGATTTAAAAATTCACCAGAATAGCAATGTTTAGGATCAATGCATAAAACATCGATTGTCAGGTGATGATTTTTTTTTTTTCATTTGTATATTGTATGGTGTGGCAAAGACATGGTCAAGGGCATGTGAAAATCTTGTATTATCCTGCAAATATTTTTTCTTATTAACTTTGGCCTTATTTAATACACCAGACAATTATATTTTATAATACATTTTAATAAAAATAAATAGAAAATTATATCTTGAGACCTTTTTAAGAAAATGCTTTATTTTTATTTTGAAAATTGGTACCTTTCTTAGTTTCAGATTCATAAGCTTATCTTCATAAAATATTTGATAATTTTTGACCCACTGCATATTATATAAGAACCGATCAGTAAATTTATTATTGAAATATGGCCATAGATTTACCTACAACCATTTAGTTTCAACACATTTTAGAGGGTAAAATATTTTCTTACAGTAAGTTTGTAATGTGTCTGGAAGGTTCTGGGTTGTTTCATTTTGTTTTCTGTTAAAACATATATACCAACAAACCAAATTTCTTCAGCTCCAAAACATCCAAGTGAATTGAAAATTCAAGGTTTAATTTCTTTTTTTTTTTGTCTACAAAATAGCAAAGAAGTAAATGAGGCCAGATTCAGTTTTCAAAAGCATTATAAGATTTTAATTGCTTTAGAAATTTGCTGGAAGAGAATTGACTTTTGCTTTGAGGTCTTCGTTTCTTTTGCTGGAAGTCTTCCCTTTGCTTGCTTCTGGTAATGCCACAGCTATTAAAGGAAGCTGGTGTGTAATTTCTATAACACATTTTTTTCCATCTAGGTGTGGAAGTGTAGAATAATAACCCATCATCATCAGTGTGTGTGTTTGTGTATTTTGTCACTGGGACAGTAATTCACATTGATCACTTTATAGTTATGCATAATTAATACATGTCTTCTAATTGATACCTAACAAGTAATGATGAAATTCATACTATAAAACATTGATATGAAAGCTATAAAATTCTAATGGAAATTTCCAAACTGGAGATGTTTATACAAGTGCTTACCTATATTTTCTGTTGCAGTTACTTTTTTGGGGAAAAAAATTTCACATGGAAATCTAATATAACCCCTCCAGGAGTGTCATGTTCATTTCAACTTCAAAAGGAAGCAACCTAGGCAAGGCAGTAGAAAACAAAAAAATTAAATGACGTATTTAATTTTGTCATTTAGTGTTGGGCTAATGTCAAAGTATAGTCAAAAGGAGTTATTATAATATAATGTTTTTATTTTGTTATATTTAAGAGGTTGACGCACCTTTCTAAATTAAACTTACCCTACAAGTAAGAGTTATACATTAATGTTAGTGAGAATATTAGTTTATATATATTTTAAGATGAGAAATAGAAGGGGGAAATTCTGCACTGCTAAAACCAATGACAGCTTCTTACATGTAAAATCATTAAAAGTCTGCTCTGCTACATGGGGATTACATTTAGGAGTAGACTGCATTCAATTTTTTTAAATATGTTTTTATTGATTTTTTATAGAGGAAGGAAGAGAGATGGAACCATTACACGAGAAACATTGATTGGCTGCCTCCTGCACGCCCCCTACTGGGGATCGAGCCAGCAACCTGGAGCATGTGCCCTGACCAGGAATTGAACCAGGACCTCTCAGTCCAGGGGACGATGCTCAGTCCCCTGAGGCATACTGGCTGGGTGCCTTCAGCTTTTTCTTATGGGATTGCAGATATGATGGCAACATATTAAATTCTATTAATTCGTATGCTTACAGTTACTCATTGCAAAGAACTTCCAACTCTTCTCCACGGTGCAGCAAAATTTGGCTTAAAGAATTTGGCTGTTCATTTGCTTCAATGTTCAGGAGCAACCTGGGCATCTCAGATGAAAAATTTGGAGGGTTCAGATCCGGCACACATTGCTGAAAGGCATGGTCACAAAGAACTCAAGAAAATCTTTGAAGACTTCTCAGTAAGTCCCCCACCCTATTTTATCTCTAAAACTTTTTTTTTATATATATAAAATGAGTGTATGTCTCTGTGTGCACACACAATGCTGTTTTGAAAATGATGCTACTGAGCAGCTAGTTGGTGGCATCCGTCAGTTCTGAGTCATTCATTGTCTTAAAAAGCATTTTGCAAGATTAGTCAGCTCATTTTAGTTTTGCCATAAATCAACTCTGACCCCACACTCCCACCCCTACATAGGATTTTTTGAAAAATATATGATCTTTCTGGCTTCCTTGTAGCCTGTTTGATGTTGGAGGGGAGTTAGTGAGAAGGAAATAAAAATCTATACCTTTATTCTTTTGTTCGAAAGTCTAAATTAGACATTTTTCGGTACAGAACGGTTCATAGAAAACACTCATTTTCTCTCTCTCTTCGACTTTATTTTTACATTTTCTACCCTCTTGGCCTATGCTCTCCTGGTTTGTGCTGCCTACTCCTACTAGCACCTACACAATAACAAAGAGAAGGGAGTATGTATTTCCCCAAATTGTATCAACAAGGCAAGTAATAAATGATGTAAAATAAACAAGGTAAAAAAATTTTAAAACACATTATTAGACATGTAAAACAAGATCAATAATTATTAGGTTAAAGGAATACATTTTGATAATCATTTAAAAAGTCTACCCTACAAAAAGTTAATTTATGTTGCTTAAATTTGATTCTCATCTATGATTTCTTTGCTCTCTTTGTGAAGTCCTAGTTTCTTATTATGTAGGTTGAAGCCACAAATTTCAGAACACTCTTGGAAGGATATTAGTTTTATAAGAATGCAAACCCAGGGAAGATTTTGAAGAAAGGGATACCACCTTAGTAAATAAAACACACTTTGTGTTTTTTTTTATCCTCACACAAGGACATTTTTTTTTTTTTTTTTTGATATTTTGTTCAGTTAGAGTGGGAGGGAAAGAAAAAGAGAGAAACATCGATGTGAAAGGGACACATCAAGTGGTCGCCACCCACATGACCCAATCAGGGCCGGGGACAAACTGCAACCGGGGTACGTGCCCTTAGCCGGAACTGGGTCTCTCCAGACTGCAGACCAATGCTCTAACCGCTGAGCCAAACCGGCCAGGGCACACTTTGTGTTTTTATTACTTTAGAAAAGCAACAATTTTCTGTTTGTAACAGAGGTATATACGTTTTGCTCAAGAAAGTAAAAGATACTTCTCACAGTTCTTAGGAAAATGTAATATGACCATTGTTCTGTTGGTGAACTTGACAAAATTTACATTTTCTAAAAATAAATTATTTTTGTTGCACATGAACATTTCATATAAAACATTGAAAACTATAAATAGTTTCTGTTTATTTTAGTATTTATTCTGATTATAAGATTAAGGCAGTGTAATATTGGACTTCTAAAAATCATTGATATTTGTGATTTTCAGAGAGCAAAATGACACTAATGTAACTTTTGCTCTGACTTTTTGGGTTTGTTTTTGTTTCTCTTAATCCTCACCTGAGGATATCTTTTCCACTGTTTTTGTGTGTGTTGTGTGTGTGTGTGTGTGTGTGTGTGTTTGTTTTGTTTTGTTTTTATAGAGTAGAAGGGAGGGAGAGGGAAAGAGAGAGATAAACATCCATGTGAGAGAGACACATTGATTGGTTTCCTCCTGCATGTGCCCCCACCAGGCTGGGCTCGAACCTGCATCCCAGGTTCTATACCCTTGACTGGGAATTGAACTCGCCACCCTTTGGTGCATGGGCCAACGCTCCAACCACTGCACCACCCTAGCCAGGGCCCCCCATCACACACATTTTTAAGAAATAGCAAAATAGTTATCAGAAGATCATGTATATCATTCACTATCTGGAATTGTAATAGGATATATTTTTCCTCTATTTAAAATAAATATAGGACATGAAATTTTATAATAAAATAAATTACTAGATTGATTTTATTCAATGTCCTTCAAGTATGAAATATGCATTATTCTTATTGCCAGAAAGAATTTAGATAGTAATTCTTATCTATCTGATGAGTGCATTCATTTTAGTAATTAGCCACTGCATGTCATCATTGACCAGGGCAATATGGAGACATGGCGTCAGTCTCAGGTAAATCCATGACTCGGTTCAGCCTTGGGAATTTGCCCTCAATGCTGTTAATTCAATACATCTCAATTCTCTGTAACCATATTCTCAAAATTTTAACCACTGGTGAACCTCAGTTAAATTTCTTCAAAGTCTTCAATACCCAGGGTCCGTCTCTAAGATAAACCCTGATTTTCAAAGAGCAATGCTTCCCCTTTTGGTTCTTCAGGGAGGACTCAGCTTGTAATAGAGTTAAAAGCGGCCCCATGTAAACTACGTATGCTCCATAAATAACATAATACTAAATGATAATGATAATAAGTACAAATGAAGGACTGCATGGATGTGAACAATACTATTTTTCTCTCTCATATCCTCTAAGTATTTGTACCTCTGCTGCTGCAATAATAGCATTAATATAATTTGATTGCTATCATTGTCTTTAGGTAACTATTCACTCTTTTATAGTGGCTCCATTCAATTTTGCAGTTATGCTTGATAATTGTTGTGTGAAATTTGTTAAATGCTTTTATTTAGTCCATGTCTTTTTAAGCTATTACATTTTGCCAGAATATCTATAGTAGACATGAATGGCAATTATAGTTAGGATAGATCAATTATTTTGTGAATGTTCTATCAGAAAGGAAGCGACTATATGACTATAGCTGTTGTAAGAAACAACAGATTTGATTTTTTTCTTCTTTATTGATTATAGAGAGAGAGGAAGGGAGAGGGAAAGAGAGATAGAAAGATTGATGAGAGAGAACATCGATTGGCTGCTCCTGTACACCCCTCACTGGGGATCAGAACCTCAACCTGGGCATGTTCGCTGACCGGTGATCGACCTCTTGGTGCATGGGTCAAAGGTCAACCACTGAGCCACACCAGCCAGACGGGACAGCATATTTATAAGGGCATTTATGGCTATGAATAATTGTGGATACAATAATTTTGCAAGCTACCAAAGGCCTTTGGAAAATGTGTGGTTAAGGACATAAGAACATATGTATTAGGTTGTAACACAAGGAAAAATGTGTTTCCTATTGATTGATTCTTCTAATTATTTTCCTAATTGTCAATTTTATTTCATATAAATTCAAAAGTCATACCTTCTTAGTAAAATTTTGCCAATCACATGTTGAAATTTTATATTCTAAATTATTGTAGCTATGTCTTTTTAAGAACATATCTAAACCTGATAGAGAAAAAATATGCAGTCTCATTATGCTATTAAAATACTGTATTATAATTTATCCTTATTGTTGAAAGTACTATAGATATCCTTCCTTTTGTCCCTCGTTGACCCCTCCTCCCCACTTTCATCCCCTGCTCCCAGCCTCTACACCCTGCTCTCTGTGTCCATTGGTTATGCATATATATGCATATCGGTTCTTTGGTTTATCTCTTTCCTCACTCTTCCATCCCTCTTCCCTCTGAGGTTTGTCAGTCTGTTTCCTACTTCCATGTCTTCCAAGGATTTATTTTGTTTGTCAGCTTATTTCATTCATTATATTTCATGAATAAGTGAGATCAGGTGATACTTGTCTTTCTCTGACCAGCTCATTGTGCTTAGAATAATGCTCTCCAGTTCCCTTCTTGTCCTCTCAAACGGGAAGAGTTTGTATTGTTTCTTTAATAATATTTACATGGCTTTAATGTTATAATCACATTCTGATGAATCTCGGATTGTCACATATACATTCAAATTTTCCATGAACTATTGCTTCAGAATTATTGAGAGGAGTAGATATTCTTTCATATTTGAAGTTTACAGTCCACCAATGGACCTTATCTCTGTAGAGTAAAAATATACATTTTTAAGTTCAAACATATTTTGCCCCCAGCTAATTACTGATTTGCTCAATTCTTCCTAATCACCATCTCTAAAAGATTGTTCATTTTAGATTCTCACAGGGAGTTATAAAACAGTGAATGTGGTCATTACTGAATGAAGTGGGTAGAAGGAAAAAGCTTCATAATTATTAAAAACCAGAAAAAAACCATTAGCATCCATAAACGGAGCCTCAAATCACGTTTCTTACATTTCTTTATGACCTTTTTCCTTTGAGAGGTTAATAATTTATATACATTCTGTGAACAGAGCGTCTTCATTATTAATGACTAATTCTCATGTTTTGATAAAGTTTTCTAATTAACACCTATACTTCTTTCATGTTTTCACTACTGCTAAAGATAGTAATGCCATATATTTCTTCTAATTAATAAGGTCTTTCAAATAAACTATTCCATTTTCAGTTTCTGACAATGTCTTCTGGGAGAATTAATATGAAAGGTGGCTGGACAAAGAACAAACGTGTTGGTATTTAAATCCACAATTGGGTATGAGCCACAATTAGCTTAGCAGAATTCTTCAGGAAATCCCAAAGTATTTCAAATAACAAGTAGCAATATTGAAAATTAATTAATTAATTCAGTCCTATAAAAATATATTATTTCAATAAAAAATACCTGAAATATTAAAAATAAACTTGAAGTTGGCCACAGATTAAGAGACAGTTTGTGATTTAAGGTAAAGCGTACAGCAAAAATTATTAATTTTTATTATTAATGTGCTTTAAGCAAAATAATGTGATATTTTCGTGTATTATCTTGAGCATATCATTCTATACATCTCCATCACTTTTGAACTCTTAACATGATTACATCAATGTATAAGTATATAGGAAAATATATCCTTCTCTGTTGGGCCCCTATGGAACTGCAGAACCAACAGATGTTTACTTAAATTAGGAACAATATCCAGATGGTATTTTCTTTCTTCCAACAGAGTAGTCACTCATATAGTTTGGTGTGTATCTTAATAAGATCTTAGTCATAAATAATCTTCAGTTGCATTTAAGAAATAAAAAAAAAAAATCTTCCTTCCATGTGTTTTTTCTGGCTGCTTTTTAGGAGGATTTCTGA